AACCCCAGTTTTCACATCTGTGTTCAGTGGATAATTGCTGCCCTCAGGATCATGGTGAAGTGTACATTACATCAGGTGTGGTACATGCAGGATGTAATTGGTACAGAAACGTGTTGAATCTCTTTTTGATTGTGGGTAATCTAGATTGAACTTTTTTATTCCTTGATAATATTGTGAATTTGTCCCTTGTCACAAATTTTTCAACATTATGATATAGGAAGGTAACACTACCCCGAGAAACATGGCTTTCTCCTTCTCATTTGATTGACCTCCTAGAGATAGCTTTCCTTTTTTTTTTTTTGATGTGACAGTGATAGTCATGTTTTCAATCTCTAAGATTGATAGCCTATGTTTTACATTTTTATATGTTGTGATTCATGCACCTCTGTAATTTCAAATATAAATACCATTGGCACAACATCTTTACCGTTAAATTTTGGCTCTAGAAGAATGTTTCTAGATGTCAATGCTTCTTCTTTTCTGCTGTATAAGTCACCATACTCCTCATGATTCATGTTGTCGATATGGACTTGATTCTCTGATGTGAACACCACATGGACTGGCCTTTTGGGATCCAGTCTGTTTGGATGCTCACCTTCCTGGACCTGGAGGGAGGGTAGAGGAACTTGGACTTCCCACAGGACAGGAAACCCTGACTGCTCTTGGGAATGGTGAGGGAGGAGGAGAGGGAGTGGGGGGAGCGGGAGGGTATTGGGAAAAGGGGAGGAAGTGGAAAGAGTGTATTCGGATACTTGAATAAACAAGTCTAACGGAAAAAAAAAAGAAGTCATGGGTGAAGCCCTCTGATTGGAAGTCCTTCTTCATAACACCATAGATAGACATTATATGTAACAGCAGAAAGACTGCATAGCAGGTATGAAGCCCTAGATTGAATTCACAGCTTCAAAGGAACACATGTGGATCTAAAGACAACATTCTTCTTTTACCCTTTCCCAGTGTGTTTCCTGTCATGCTTCCTCATTAAAGCTACTATATTACACTTGAAATAGGATTGTTAGCTTGAATGATCACATAGACACTTTGCGATTAGAATGATGTAACTCAGGCGTATTGAAGAGCTACCATCCTCTTTCCAAAAGCGGGTAGAATAGGAAAACAAAATAAGCAAGGTACTCCTGGCTCAGAGACATGGTATGGATAGGAGCTTCTAACAGTTCAATATGTGTATCCAGCTACTAGGAAAGCGGGTATAGGCCATGACATTAGAAAGAGGACCATGGGATGGGAGACACGGTGGTTGAAAGGGAAGCTGCTGGGGAAGACACTGAAATGCATATCTATTAAAGTGCAGGAGTATTTACTGGATGCATGGGGAAAATGGAAACAGGGCAAGGATCTAGGGGAGACGATGGGGCTTGAGGAACAATAAAAGTGAAGTATATCTGTAAGTGCTACTTTGTAAGCTAATAATTAAAATAAATTAAATAAACAAATAAATAAAACTATCACCTGGTTGCTAACACATTATCAATGTAGTAAATAGCCCCAGGGTGTTTCCTGGCACCAGAGTCAGGCCTGGGTTCAAGTACAGGTTCATAAGAACTGCTTGTATGAACCTGGGAAACTGGTTCTGTTCCAGGAGCCTGAGCTATTTACGCCTGCGACAATAGGATGATTGATGATGCTACTGCCACACGATGTTGTAAGGTGCAGGGAGAATGCATACAGGGCATGCACTACCCTCCTGACATGGAGCAATGGTTCAAATTTTACCTTCATTCTCTCCATTTCTTCATCTTTACAACTGATCACACCACTAGAGAGGTGCAAGCAGCGAAAGCTGGCAATGGGCAGGTACACTGTTCGGGCCTTGGGGAGGGCACTCAAGAAAAATGGTGCCCCATCGAACACATGCCTTACATGGAAGTGTCAGCTGAAGCATAGCATAATTCACATTTTTATCATATCATACATGATGCTTTCATGTAAGTTCATATATGTCAAAAACTGCATTTGTTTAGCATGACCTGTTCTTAGAAGATGTCACAGGAATAAACAACAAAAGAAAAAGATATTTCAGATGACGTCAGAAATAAAACTTTCCTGCTACAAACAAGGCCCTCAAGATCATAAAAAGAAAAATGAAAAATTGGGTGACATATACAAACCATACATCTGTGAGATATTGATACCTGGACTACACATAACTTCTACAACTCAAGAAAAACAGGTTAATTTAAAAATGAGCAAAGAATTTGAATGGATGTTTTTTCAGAAGATGTGAAATGGACAATTAGCATGTGGGGAAGTCCACTGAACATGGTTAGTCGTTAGAAAAATTATCCCTAAAACCATAGTGAGGAACAAGTTCTTATGTACTAAATGACTACCATGCAAACCAAACACAATCTTAAGAACAAAGAGAAAGCAAAGAAGCAAAGTAACAAGTGGCTGTGAGGTTGGGGAGCATTTTGGACAGTCCTGTTTCTGAGAGAAGCAGAAAAAGAGCAACCACTTCACAAAGATAGTGTGTGTCTTCCTCACAAAGGTAACTCCACTGGAACCAAGGAATTCCACTGCTAGGTATATTCTCAAGAAAAACAAAATTAGATGTTCATACATAAACTTCTGTCTCACTGGACATGATAACTCCAAAGTAGAAATACACTGAATGATGATGAACTGGAAATAAACAAAACCAAGTTATATTTACATAAGAGACCAATAGTCAGTTAAAAATACTAAATACTGACACACACTCTCCCAGGCTTAAATTTTGGATACACTATGTTGAGAGGAATAACCCTGTTGCCAAACATGACAGCTTGTGAAGGCTGCATTGTAGAACCCAAAACCCCACATGGGCAAGGACAGAACATAGCACAGTGCACCTAGTCTTGGCAGGTTTGAGGAAAGAAACATTAAGGGCCAGACATTCCCTTCGGGGACTGATGAAATGCCTTAAACTTAGATGTTGGTAATGCTTACAGAACTCTTGGAGCATATTAAACCCTGGTGAATTTTGTGTTACATAATTATAATGAAGATTGTCTTTAGAGGAAAAAAAAACGAAGCCAAACCATTCAACATCAGAAGACATTGTGGTTGGAAGGTGATGGAAATGCCAGCATTCCGTGTATTTCTGAGGTGATTTTGGAATTCTGGGGAGTCTAAAATAGTGCAGGCAGGCATATCTTCAAAACATACTAATGCACAAATTAAACTACCAATCAGTTTGGGTGAAACTAAGTTGAATGAACTGAAAGTGATGTGTCAATGGTATTAGACCTTACAAAAGTGTCTAACCTTCTCTGTTTCCCTATTTGCCACATTTAATTTTTATAGTCATTTTTGATATGTGGGGTTGTGGTACTATTAGCCTGGACAATGCTTAAGTACGAATGTATAGTGTGGATCAGGAACCTGGTATAGGCGTACTGGACTCACTGTGCCAAGGGGACAAAGGAACAATGAAGCTTATGCCCATACTCTGGTCTGCAGTCCGTGCTCCAGGCAGCTGTCGTGTCCATGACAAAGAGGTGATTCTTAGATTTGCACATCCTTACCATCTTTCCAAAAGGCTATTGCCTGCAGGAAATGTTTGCATCTGCTTTAAGAGAGACTTACTCACTTTTTAAAAGATTAATTCTTTTGTGTGACGCGCGCGCGCACACACACACACACACACAATCCACCTGCAGGAGGCTCTGACGGTCAGGAGAGGGTGTTGGTTCCGCTGGAATTAGAGTTGCAGGTAGTTGTGGGCTGCCCCTGGGTGCTGGGAACTGAACACGTGACCTCTGCAAGGGCAATCAGTGCTCTAGAACAGTACTGTCTCTCCAGTCCCTACTGTAAAAGACAAAGGGACGATTTCAACTTGCGCCATTGCCATGCTTGAAACACATGGATAGAATCTTCTTGAGGCTATGCTCTTGTTTCATGTGAAGACATTATTCTGTGTGTTCTCAGAGGCCTTCAGCTTGTCTTTGAATTTTATTCCACTGTCTGTGTCTCCTGGCTCCTCCCCTCCACAGTCATCCTTCTCTACTTACACAGCACCAATTCTGGTATTTCTCTTCCATTTTCACATCTTGCCCACTGCCCTGATATGGTCATGATTTCATCCTTAGGGAAATCCAAACACTCCAGACTAGTTTATCTGTTTCCTAATATGTCACCTTCCCAACCTCCATTTCCCCTCTCCTCCCTTTCCCCTTCCTTGCTTCACTGCTGCCTGCTGCCTCCTTCATTATCTAAATTTGGTTTCCATCCGTGTGTCTGGTATGAAGGGCATTCTATAACTGTCAGCATGGAAGAGCAGCGCCTAATCCACGCTCCCCACCTGCTGGTCTCTGCCCAGGGACACTCACTCTAATGGCTTTCCATTTACCTCCCAGTTTCTGAATAACCCAAACTAGCGCTGCTATTTCTAGACTTTCATCAGTTGTTAAGTTGTCTATTTACTTCCTTCAAAAGAGGCCCGTTTTAGGTTTCTGACACTAGTGCTAACACACTTATTTATGTCTCCATGAGAAGTCTGTAAGATTCTTTTGAAATCGAAATTTGCAGTTTTTTATGTTTGCTACAGTTTTCTTTATATCCATTTTCATGTATTGTTTACATACGATTTATTTTATTTCTGGATTTAAAACTTACCATATTTATTGCTTATACGTATCATTAATATGTAAGGTGTCTGATGGAATTATAAGGCCCTCGATAGTCTAACATGCTAGTTTCATGTTCTGGTGTCATGTTCTTGTTGATGAGACCCCTCCTAGAATTCTGTAATTTCCTGTTCTGATCTGGACTAGTTGTTTGGCTAACCCTCAGAAGTTTTCCTGGGCCTTTCTTGATCTTCACTTGGGAATTTGCCTTAGGTTTTCTGGCCCTGGGATCTCACTTCCTGAATCTCTTGTCCTGGTGTGGGACTTACACACAGCATCTTCCCAGAAAAGTGATGTGTCCAAAGATGGGAGGAAGCAGACAGAGATAAGGGACTCCATGAACATTGCTGTTGTCATCGGTGTCTGGACTTGTCTTTATTTTGCTCTCATAGCTGATTGCTGATTTGGTTAGGTATAGAATCTATGTTGCTAGTTCTTCCCCTGAAGAAATTTAAAGGCTTTATCTATTAATTACAACTCCTAGAGGCTGGTGGGAAGTCTGAAATTATGGTCCATGCAGATCCTTCTTCTTGGTGAACTTTCATGGTCCTGTTTGTCTCAGTGTCTACTGATGAGGGTTTCTTTCATTGACTGTAATGCCCACAAATGAATTATTTAGAATTTGTGTTCCAAATATTTACTAAATCCTCCCACAGTGCAGGAACTGTCTTAGAACTTATACCTAAAATTCTATGAAATTTTCCTTATTACTTCCTAATATTTCTCACTTTTCCTATTATTTTTTATCCTTCTCTCTCCATTTGCTCAGCTGAAGAAAAATGACTTACAATGACTCATCCCTTTTCCATGCGTTCTTGTGCAAGAATTGTCCTAAATCATCCTCAAGTCTGATTTTATAAAAACATAATATTTTTTCTCTGCTTGGCTCATATTAAGTAGAAAAATATTAATAGTGAAATTTAAATTATTTCTCCTTTTTATCTTGTTTTAAGTCCTTTGCTCCGTGCACTGAATTCCATACATGATAGTTTTTCTCAAATAGCTGGTTATTACTCTACTTCATATTGGAAGTCTGGCAGGTAAGTGGTTAACTAAGAGGAAAGTATTGACTTCAAATGCTACTCTAGAAAAGTAAATCTGATTCTCCTGTGTCCTGCCAACTGGGATATTTCTCTAACAGCCCCGGATCTGTATACTCTAGGAGATGGACAAGAGGTGTCTCAGGTCTCTCACCATTTAGAATGCCAGTGATCTCCCAAGGCCTTCATTTTCCATGCTGTTTTTGTTTGTTTGGTTAGTTTTATTTTTGTTTTTGCTTATTTTTTACTATCCATGGGCAGAGTTTCTGGCACCTTCCTTTCCAGATCTTCATGGCATGGCAGGAAGTCTTGATAACCTTGTCTCTCACGGAGCCAGAGAAAAGGAGCAGACGAGCCGTGTTTGAGCGAAGCACATCTAGTTTCTTCAGTGGTTAATTTGACCCACCTGGGGTCAGCAACCTGCCACCACCTCTCTCTGAGCTGCTTGGTGCATACAGTCCTGAAGCATGTTCAGAGATTTGTCCCCTGCCTCTACGCATCAGGCAGGTGAGTTCCCAGAAGACACACTGTGGCTTGAGCTACCACTCATGTGACAACACCGCTGACTTTTGTCTGCCTCTTTGGTTTTTGTTGCCATTGGGCTTAGGAAGAAAAGTAACATATGTCAATGATGCATGTTTATTTTACCACTTCTTTGCAATTTGTTTGTTTGTTTGCTCAAATTGTCTAATCCCTTACTTTACTGTACCAAGTCTTCCAGATGTCCCAAAGCAATGACTCTTAGCTCGCCACCAGTCTATGAACTAAACAGAGAAGTCAGAGCACCTAAGAGGTCAGGAGCAGAAAGAGCTAGTGACAGAGGTAGCCTGACCTCAGCCGAGGTACCAGGTTTGGATGCATTCAGGAGTGACACTATCTGACTTGAGGCTAGAAGGCAGCTCATGACTAAGAATTCTTTCAGCATTCCCCCAGCAGCCTAAAAGAGTAAAGGCCTTGGAGTAATTGGCAGAGCCTGATCAAAGGAGATTCTTAGAAGCTCAAAGTTGATCCTGAGGAGTTGTGATCATAGCTAATAGGCACGTATCAACTCTGTCTATTGCTTTCATGTGTCAACTTTGTGGTTTTCTACCTGTGAGGCCCCTGGAAACACATTGCTTTCTGAACCCAAGTGAGAGGGTCAATCTTGATCGTCAACTTTTATTAGAACTAGCAATTGCCTAGAAGACTCGGCTCGGGCATTTCTGAGGGCATCCGTAGAGGATTACCTGAGGAGACATGACCCACTGTGAAGGTGGGTACAGTAGTCCGTGGAGTAGTGTCCCAATCTGAATAAAAATGGAGGGAGTAAGCCCTGAACCAGTGCTTGTGTCTCTCTTCCTCCCTCGCTGTAGACTCATCGTGACCAGATTCATCACAATCCTGGCGTTCTGTCTTCCCTGACCTGGTAATGGCCTGTAGCCGCTGAAACAGTCAACCATAAGAAGCCCTCTTCCTTTAAGCTGCTCCTGTCCACTTGTCTTGCAGCATAGCAAGAAATATAACACCCTCAATTTCCTCAACTGTAAAATGGGATCACTAGTCATTCCTCCCTCCTCAGAGTTGCTGTAAAGATCGAATCTATTAATATCCTGTAGAGCGCAATGAAGTCTCAAACGCATCAAACAAATGAGGCCACCGGCATGCACACACTAAGTGCTCAGAAACCCCCTTTTAACTAGGTGAATTAAATACAACATATGGGACTATCTGTTTCTTTTAAATTTAGCATTAGTTTCTGTGGTTTGCCAAAAGGAAAACAAACCGAAAGATCTGTTTTAATGGCTGCTTTTAGTTAGAATAATTAGCCACATTGCATTGCACTAGAAGAGACAACCCCTTCCAAATCTCCTCCAATAACACCACCAGGTAGACAAATCATGACTGATTAACCAAGAGCTATGCTTTGCTCGGTCCAATAACAATTCTGCCTCAGGCATGTCTGCACAGTCTTTCAGGTACTCTGACTGATCAGCAAGGAAGGAACCCAAAGGCTGGTAATTTCTAATTTATAAACACTGCTTGACGTAGGCAGTTGGGCATTCTGCCACCCTGCTATGGCCTGAAATGGCCCAACCACTTTGTAGTGTGCTGAAAGCAATTTCAAATGACTTAATAACTCTTTACCTACCTCTCCACTGGGGTCCACAGATACCATTGGATGAGGGCCATCGAATGGCCTCAGGACAAGGGGTTCGGGTTACAACTTCATGGGGTTTCCAGATGAACAATGAGTATATTGTGAGCGTCCCATCTGTCAAAGTCATCAAAAGATAAAGAGGAAAATAATACAATTAAACCTTTAAGACACATTCATTTATCTTTGGTTTTTCAAAACCGATCTCAATTTGGCACGGTTCTTTTTGGCAAAGAAGCTAGAGATTGGCATTCTTTGATACAAATTGAGGTCTTGCGGAAAACAAATTTCTGTATAGAAAATGAAGACAAAATGAAGCAACTAACACTATCAATGCTGGTGGGAAGAACCTGCCTGGAAACCTTGTGTCCTGATAAGACAGACAATTAGCTGGGTTAAGTTAAGCACTGAGTCTGTGTGTGTGTGTGTGTGTGTGTGTGTGTGTGTGTGTGTGTGTGTGTATGTGTGTGTGTGTGTGTGTGTGCACATGCACATATATGAATGTACACAGGCACACATGGGCATGTAGGTGCACTTGCAGGGCTGTTTATGTAAATAGAGGCCAGAGATCAACTATGATCCATCTTATGTTGTGAAACAGGTTCCCTCACAAATGTGAGCTTTGCCCATTTAGCTTGACTTGTTGGCCAGATAGCCTCAGGGATCTAATTGACTATCTTCTCAAAACTGAGATCACAAGCGTGCCTGCTTTGCTCCTATGGGGGAATGGGGATTGAACCCAGGTTCCCAGGCTTGTAGAGCAAGCACTCTACTGACGGAGCTATCAGCCAGATCCTAAACACCGCTTTTGTTTGTTTATTTTATTTATAACAATAAAAGCGTTCACCTTGCAATAGCATGAGCAATCCCCATATGGAGGGAAAAAAAGAATTGAAATTGCCCCTGGCGATGAAAAGACACCGTCTTCTCTCGCTGCTGTGACTTCTTACAGTATCTCCAATGGAATCCTGGCCACCTCGGCAGGCCCTACCCACTCTAAGAAACTCATGGAGGTCCTGAAATCTCTCCTCCAGATTCACAGGCAGCCGCCATCACCTTCTGCACTTTCTGTCAGGATTTTTCTCTTCGTCTGGCAGATGTTTTGTCTATGGCCAAAGCCAGAGCCATCTCTTACCTCAGCCACATGTAGCAGGCATGCGTAGACTACAAACAAGTCTCTCTGTGTTTCCACAGACTTCCTTGCCCAGGGCCCTCCGCCTAGGCTGCCACACTGAAGGAACTCCCTTTGGACCCAGCCTCACTCTCGCCCTGTGGGGCTGTGTGGTATTGTGATTTCTCCACATCTGACTCTCAGTGCAGGGGCAGCAGCCACTATCCTTCCAGAAGGGAAATTTTCCTTTCTCTGCTCTCTGCCCCACGTCCTTACACCAGGTTGAACAGGAAACAATTCCAGCATATAATATCTTCTTCTTACTCTACTCATAGATCCCTTATTGGCTATTCGGGGCACCTACAACCTTGTCTGGGACTAGAAGGGCAAGGGATGGAAGGCAGACACACAGACATCCCCTAAGAGCTCTAAATGCCATCTTCCTCCTGCTGTTCTTTCTCCATCAAGGTGCCTTAGGTCCAGGACTAGCATCATTTGTCTAGACAGAACCTTTAGCTTTCTCATGAATCCGGCCTTAGGAAACTTCCAAGCTCACGTAAGACTACCACCCCAGAAACAACCCAACTCAATATGTTCTCAACCCAAGAAGAATTCCTGAGCCGTGTTTTGTCTGGCCAACATGATGGCATAATACGGAAGTTGGTGACATATGGGTCAGGCAAGAACTCTATTGACAATGACAATTAATTTGTTCCTTTATTTTTTCTTACTTTAATGGTTGAAACAACTTCCCTGAGAAAGAAAAGGATTTTCCAGGGACTAGCCACACATGTCACACCCTGTCATTTAACTGTGTTGGTAGTTAGGACTGTCCTGGTCATTCTACCATGTGTAATAGAGACACAGCCTTCTGCCTGTGACAAAGGTAAGAAACTCTTTCCTACCACCGATCTTGAGGAATCCTCATGGAGTAAAGCCAGTTTCCTGTTTTTTTTTTTTTTCATCTCAACTAGCCACTAACAACAGCGCCTTTGACCTCTCAGAGCGCCCTCCACCCCCAAGCACCCAAAGCAGCAGGCTCAAGCTGTCAATTCAGGATTCAAGGTACTTCACATCTGTCTCGAGGTAGAAGCCCCAAAGCGGGAGACTATGTTAATCTGTCAAGATTTGACTACCTGACCGGTCCAGTGCTTGGTCCCATTCCACAGTTCTTTGTTTTAGTTACTGCTGAGTGACTTGATCCAAGAAGGAGTTGACTAGCAGGCTATGTCCTGAGATTGTATCCAGTCCAGTCATTTGTCACAGTGCAAAGATCATGTAACCAAACTGTGATACAGAAGTCACCTCCAACGCGGCTTTGCTCTTTGGTCTGTTACTCCCAGCTCTCTGGCTCCTCCAGCTCACATTCTAACCTTATATCCTCGTGCGGCTTTAGATTTCTGCTTGTGCCTCTGTAATACTTCTTAGCCTCAAGACTGTGCTAGACACTTGAAATCTCAGGAGAGCTGTTTCTTCTTTCTCAATCTCTCTCTCTCCTTTTTTCAATTTTGGTTAAACTTAATATTCATTTGTTATTTTTTTTGAGATTTTAAAAACTTTTCTTTTTGCTTCTTTTTGTAATCTGTATGGACTCATGTAGCTATTCATCACAGACACGCAATACTCAGGTAAACCATAAGACGGCATTAGATCTCCTTGGAATAGGAGTTACCTCAGTAATGCGGGTGCTGGAAATCGAACCAGAGTCCTCTGGAAGAGCAATCGGTGCTCCTACTTCTAAGTCATCTCCAGCCCCAGGAGAGATGTTTGTCAGCAAAACTTAGTCTTCCCGAACACTCATAACCACTCTTACCACCACCATGGCCAGCTGTCATGAGCTTTTTTTTCTCTCTTCCCATGTTAGATAAGGAAGATTGTGCATGGATATGAGCAGAAACATTCAGTCCAAACAATGTGAATTTAAAGTTGTTTGGTTTTGATATACAACCCAGGCTGACTCCTTGAAGCCTGTCCTGTTTATCAGTACTTATTCGTGATAGAAATGACTCTCTTTACAGAAACTTATAGCTTTTGTTGCATTTGTTTTTCATTAAAACATTCATATTTGAAATAAAAACTAACTTTTACAGTTCTGTTCACTTCACTCATTTTACATAATCGCTTGTGTGTTTTTGTGAGTAAGCATAAATAGGGAGACATTCTATTTATTCTTCTAGATTTTAGGGGTTGAAAATGTAGGTACTGACAGGAGCTTTAAAAATATCCTTAGCTTTGCTCAACTTCTATCGCTTCTTATTTGTCTAAGAAAATCGATATTCATTTTCTTGTTTCATGTTAAATAGTTCAGATAGAATACAAAAGCAAGAAAATGCACCTGGTACAAGGAAGCTACTATCCCTGACAGCCCTTCATCTTTTTTCAGGCCCATATTGGCTTTTCTCCCGGCCCATCCATTCTCTAATGTAAGTGTTATAAATTACTCTAAAGTGCTATAAAGCGTAATAAACATAAATCAATATTTCTTGGTTCAAAACTTGGAAATGCTGATGGGGGCTCAGCCGGTCAGAGGCATCCTGCATCTATCACATTCCTCCGATGTTCCTTCCTACCAGCAGCCATTTCTGGTTTGAAGAATAACTCTTTGTGTGTCTGTCTGACCCGAGTTCCCCGAACACTCACGGCGACACACCACGATGGATGTGGGAAGAGCTCACCCAGCAGTCTTAGTAACATCCCATTCTTTTTCCTCTTGGCCTCTGAGCCTGGCAACTTTGGAAGAAAGGAGTGTCACTCTCAGACAGAGTTAGACCGCAGGCTGGCAGTATGTCAGGCTGGTCTGGGGCTAATTCCAGTTTGTTATGGGAGAGAGAGAAAAAAAATCTATTCATTTCGTCTAAGATTCAATGAATTCAGCAAAATTCCACCTCTTTCCTTCTGCTTTTTGCAAATGTGACAACTGATCTGGGTAAAGCACCTGCAGGCAGCTTAATGGCAAAGCCCACCTGCCTGAGTCTGCCATCTCTGGCTTGTGCTCATTTGCTGTCTCTTAGAGAGAAAGCCACATCACTCTCCTGGAAATGACAGCTTGCTTCCACAGCCAACTCATGCTATTTATGTGGCAAACTTGTTATTTATTCTCATCTAGGAAGGAATGATTGAATGGTCTTGTGTGTTTGCCCCCGTCAGGAATGGGAGAGCTGTATAGGGTTCTATTTGAAAGCTTGGGAGATCTCTTCATAAGCATTTCACAGGTGGCTTTTAGGGAACTCATGACAGGTTGGTAGGGCAACACATAAAGTGGCTTTTCAGGCTAATCCAGCAAGCACAGGGCAGACTGCCTTCTCCCCGCATCTTTACCATGTTCTAATCCCAAGCAGGTTCTACCAGAGAGTAAGCAGCAGCTCTCACCCAGAAGATACAGGGCCACAGTCTGTGTACATAGGAGGAAAAGTTAAACTCTTTCTCAATTATTATCACCAAATGCCCACTCTGACACATTGCTGTTAACAGCACGTCTTTAAATTCTTTAAACTGTGGGCACTTTCACATATATAGAAAAGGTACTGTGAGCGACATTTAAACAAATGAAACTATGCTCAACTATGCTCACACTGAGGGCAACGTCAATGGACAGGACAGCAAGCAATATCTCTTCATAAAAGTATTAGCAGAAGAAAACCTCCCAAATTCTCTTGGTAAACTTTGAGCAAACAGACACGTTCACAACCTAGAGGAGTGTATGATTGCTCTTTGATTCAGCAAACCTAATCTTGGGGATCAAACCTACAGCAAACACCGTACACACAGATGAAAATATATAAATGTACCTACTGAAGGACATTGTAAGTACAAAAACATTCAGTCATATTCTGTCAGGTAATTAAAATAATTATAGCATATCTACATGGTAGCATACAGTATAGCAGCAAAAGAGGAAGGGGCAGCTCTACATGCCGTCCCTATCTCTGGGGCATCTGTTTCAATACAAAAATGAAAATGTGGGATCGTACATGTAGGCTAACACATACGTATAAAGCAGAAATAAGAACTCATATCTATTATTGTTTTAATATTTGCATGAAACAGCTTAGTAACATTTGTGATAAAGTTGTACCGAGAGCTGCATGTGGGGAAAGATGAAAACAAGATGGAGAGGCCCAAGAGCCATAACCAACCTTGCAGTGTGTGCTGCTTCCTCTGTAAAGTACAGAAAAGTGTAACATATCCAGATAGCACTTTTAATTAGAGGTTAAATGCTTATTTGTCTTGTAAACATTTTCATTGTGGTGAAATATATGTAAGACAATGCCATTTCGGCTCCTCTTTGATTTGTGTGTGTGTCTGTGTGTGTGTGTGTGTGTGTGTGTCTGTGTGTGTCTGTGTATGTGTGTGTGTGTCTGTCTGTCTGTGTGTGATGTGTCTGTGTGTGGTGTGTGTGTGTGTTTGTGTGTGCCTGTCTGTATGTGGTGTGTGTGTGTGTGTGTGTGCCTGTCTGTGTGGTGTGTGTGTGTGTGTGTGTGTGTCTGTGTGTGTGTGGTGTGTCTGTGTGTGGCATGTCTGTGTGTCTGTGTGTGCATGTGCAGTTGATGTTTTCTTTAGTTACTTCCCATGTTAGGTTTTGAGACAGACTCTGTTGCTGAACTTGCAGTGTACAGACTGACTAGTTTGGCTGGTCAGAGATTTCTGATCTGAATCACCCCAACTCTGGGATTGTAGACCCATGTCACTGCACCCAGCTTTCTTTTCCCAGGGGTTCTGAATTTCTGCACTCATATCTTAATGCTTGAAGGGCAAGCACAGACTCTCTACCTATTGGAGCAGCAGCCCCATCCCAACCCCAACTGCAGCTCCAGCCCCAGGTCCGTCTCCAGTCCCAGCCCCAGCCCCAACTCCAGCCTCAGCCCCAGCTCCAGCCCAAATCCAGCTCCAGCTCCAGCTCCAGAACCAACCTCAGCCCCAGCTCCAGAACCAGCCCCAGCCCTGGCTCCAGAACCAGCCCCAGTCCCAGCTCCAGAACGACCCCCAGCCTCAACCCTAATTCAAGCCCCGGCCCCAGCCCCAGTCCCAGCCCAAACTCCAGTTATTCTAAAATGCCCATGCCAGCACCGTAATTGCATTCACAGAGCGTACTGGAAATGTCTTAAATGGTGTGATACCCTAAATAAAGGCAGACAGCCCTTTAAGTAATTACTTTCTGTCTTCCTTGTCTTCTCCTAGTAATTTCTAGTGTGCTTTCCTGTCTACGAATCTGCCTATTCCAGAAACTTTGTGTCAGTTACAGCATTGCTCACCTGTGTCTGGATAAGTTCACTTGATGTCTTCAAGATACATCCAGATTGTATCATGTATCAAAACTTTGTATCATTTTGTAATCAGGTAGTTCAGGGCTGATCTGTGTATAAAATCCTTTTATCTGTTCATCTGTTTATGAACCATAAGTTTTCAGGTTTTCCTCTGCAGTGACTATATTTCCTTGAACACTGGCATACAAATATCTACTAGCCTTGTTTTTAATTATTTGAAACATGTATGCAGGAAGCATAATTGATGAATTGTAAGGTTCTCTACATTTTCAGGAAATATGGTGCTGCCTTCCATGACAGCTGGACTCGTATGTGAATACAGCCATCCCAGGCAGGCATGAAGCAGTGTCCTATTAGGTTGACCTATTTGAAATCAGGAAGTAAATCATTCAAAAATGTACAGTAAACTGTAGTATCTGTGGCAATTATCACTTCCAATTTATTGTTAAATTGCTTGGCATTCCGTAAGCATAAAGTTTCTCAGAAGCTGAGATGAACTAATCCTTATCCGTTGAACGTACAAGAATGCTACTCAAAATTACAGTCCCCAGTACTGTGGGCCAGCTAATCTCTTTATGCCCTAATTCTCCCTCCAAAGTTCTTTTATCTGTGTTAGGGATACAACTCCAAGCCTCATTTGTGCTAGGCAAGTATGCCTTTAATCCTAGCACTCAGGATGCAGAGGCAGGTAGATCTCTGATGTGAGTTTGAGCCCAGCCTGGTCTTCAAAGTGAATTCTGGAATAGCCAGGGCTTTTACATGGAGAAACTATGTCTCAAAAAAAAAAAGCAAAGAAAGGAAGGAAGGGAGAGAGAGAGAGAGAGAGAGAAAGGAAAGAAAGGAAGGGAGGGAGGGAGAGAGGAAGGGAGCGAGGGAGAGAGAGAGAAAGAGAAAGAGAGAGAGAGAGAGAGAAAGAGAGAGAGAGAGAAAGAGAAAGAGGAAGGTCCAGGGTTTTCTAGAACAAAGGATATAGTCACTG